TATATATATATATATATATATATATATATATATATATATGATAATATATATATCTACGTTAATGCATATATATACATATATATGTTAATGTGCATGCTTATATACGTACAGGTAGGACTGGATCTATAGATACATTGATATGTGCATCTACATAGGTAAACATATATAGATAATTACATATACATATACATATATATATATACGCGAATATATGTAGATAAATATAGCTGCATATATATATATAGTGTACAGGGAGTATGCATTATAAGTAAAAGGAGACGTAGCGATATAGTTGCGGTGTAATTCAGCAAAAAGATTTAAAACTGGAGACAAAACAATGCACGAAAATCTCAAAAGAAAAATCTCCCTATACACCTGAAGCTCCCTATACACCTGAAGGCATCCCTAAACCCTAAACCCTAAACCACAAATCCTAGACCCTAAATCTTAAATTTTGTTTCTTAAAAGTGCATACTGCCTAGAGAAGCAGTAGCATTAGACAGATGCCAGCAACACACAAACCAGCAGCTGCTGCTGCAGCAGTATAGCAGCAGCTGCTGCTGCAGCATTAGTAGCAACAAATCAAGCGGCTACTGCTGCTTAGATACATCTCGCTGCGTCTTGGCTGCCTCATCTGCAGCAGCAGCAGCAGCAGCAGCATCAGCAGGGGGCTTAGGGGCCAGCACCTCCTCCCACGGCTCCAAACTAGCTGCAGCAGAAACAACAAATGTGCAGCAGCAGCAGCAGCAACTGCAGCAGCAGCTTCAGGAGCAGCAGCAACTGCAGCAACAGCAGTAACTGCAGCAACAGCAGCAAAGAAGCGTTCGATTGCCATGTTATAAACCCCAAACCCCAAACCCCAAACCCTAAACCCTAAACCCTAAACCCCAAACCCTCACCGCTAAACCTCCACTTGTCTATGATCTCTCGCCGCTGGGCTGAGCTGTATCCCTCCAATAGCTGCCTGTACACCGCAAGCAGCAGCAGCAAGAACAGCGGCAGCAGCAGCAGCAACAACAGAAGCAGCAGCAGCAAGAATAGAAGCAGCAGGAGCAGCAACAGACACAGAAGCAACAACAATGACTGCAGCTGCTGCAGCAGCAGCAGCAACCGATGCGCTTCTGTCGTTGCTGGAGTCTTTCTTTTCTATGCTCCTCTTACCCCCTAAACCCTAAACCCTAAAGCCTAATCCCTTAAAGCCTAAACCCTTAAACCCCAAACCCTCAACCCTCAACCCTTAAACTCTAAACCCTAAACCTTAAACCCTTAGACTCTGAACCCTAAACCCTAAACCCTAAACCCTAAACCCTAAACCCTCAGCTTGTACTTGTGGGTTTGTCCATTGATTAGAGTGGCTTCAACAACAGCAGCAGCATCATAGTCAAGAATATCGTAGCTAACAGTTAGCTGAGGATATTTCTTTTTTATCTTCTCTCCTGAGAGCTGCAGCAGCAAACGCCTGCACACAGCAGCAGCAGCAGCAGCAGCAGCAGCAGCAAGAGCGGAACATAAAGCAGCAACAAAAGCTGCAGCAGCAGCAGCAATTTATGCGCGCTGCTGTACCAAACAAAGGGAACCCGCATCTCCAGCACCCTCCTAAACCCTAAACCCTAAACCCTAAACCCTAAACCCTAAACCCTAAACCCCTTCCTTCCATCACATATCCAAATGGCCTAACCCCAGGCAAAAACGATCAGCAGCAGCACCACCACCAATTGCAGCAGCAGCACAGCACCAGCAGCAGCAGCAGCAACAGCAGAAGCAGCAGCAGCAGCACCAACAGCAGAAGCAGCAGCAGCAGCACCAACAGCAGAAGCAGCAGCAGCGGCACCAACACCAGAAGCAGCAGCAGCAACAGCAGCAGCAGCAACAGCAGCAGCAGCAACAGCACCAACAGCATCAGGACCAACAGCAGCAGTTCCAACAGCAACAGCAGCAGCAGCAGCAGCAAGAGCAGCAGCAGCAGCAGCAACTGACTTAGCGTTTTGATTGGTGTTAGGTCTCCTGTTAGAATAAGTAATATGAATTCTTTTTAAGTACTTCAACATATCCCAGCTGCCAAACAATGTGCCCTTCATCTTCTAAACCCTAAACCCTAAACCCTAAACCCTAAACCCTAAACCCTAAAGCCTAAACCCTAAAAATGCTGAGAATGCTGTCCTTGGAGCGGCTTATTTTTGCTGCAGCAGCAGCTGCTGCTGCAACAATTCGAAAGAAGGCAGTCAGGCATTCACTAACTCGTGCTGCTGCTGCTGTTGCTGCTGCTGTTGCTGCTGCTGCTGTTGCTGCTGCTCCTGCTGCTGGCCCTGTTGTTGTTGTTGCTGCTGCTGCTGTGGTTATTGCTGCTGTTGTTGCTGTCGATGCAGTTGCTGCTGCTGTTGCTGCTGCAGTTGCTGCTGCCGTCGGTTTTGCTGCTTCGGTTAACTGCAGCACTCTGAGGCGCTCGTAAACCCTAAACCCTAAACCCTAAACCCTAAGCCCTAAACACTAGCCGAAATTATTTATTATAACTAAAAAATAAAATATATTTTTGTTTTATATAGAAGACAAAGACAAAACAAGTATTGATATCGCAGCCTCGGGGCCTCGGCCGTAGGGCCCCCCATTAGGGTTTAGGGTTGCGCATAAACCCTAAACCCTAAACCCTAAACCCTAAACCCTAAACTATTAATTCTAAACCTTTATTTATGTACCCTTATTGCTGCAATAAGTCGTGAAGGCATTGTATAGGAGATGTGCTTTAGGGTTTAGGGTTTAGGTTTCAGGGTTTAGGCTTTAGGGTTTGAGGCTTAGGGTTTAGGGTTTAGGGTTTAGGGTTTACAGCCAAGCTTGGATACCGAACTCTTTTCCCTCCTTCTAAAATCTTAAACCCTAAACCCTAGACCCTAAACACCCTAAACCCTTAACCCTAAACCCTGAGGCATGAGGCGTAAATACTAAACCCTGAACTCTAAACCCTAACATCTAAACGCAAAACCCTCAGCCTAAGCTCTAAACACCAAACCCTAAACCCTAAACCCTAAACCCTAAACCTTCCTTCTATGGAGTGTCCCAGGTGCGAGCCTCTGCATGCAGAGCTGTTCCCTCTGCCGCTGCAGCAAAAGCAGCAGCAGCAGCATCAGCTGCAGCAGCAGCAGCAGCTGCAGCAGCATCCCGAGCTGTAGCAATAGGACGGCATCTCGAGCAGCACCATAAGCTGCAGCCGCAGCAGCAGCAGCAGCAGCAGCAGCAGGGTCTCCTACCTAGCTAGCGGTTTGTGTTGTTGACTGCTGCACTCCTTCCTGCTGCTGCTGCAAGCGCTTCAACCCACCCCTGCTGTTGCTGCTGCTGTTTCTCTTGCTGCTGCGGCTGCTGCCCTTACTGCTGCTGCTCTTGCTGTTGCTGCTGTTCCTGCTGCTGCTGGTGCTGCTCTTAACAATCATAGCTTACCCATCAAAGCGGTTAGCTGCTGCTACAGTTGTTGCTGCTGTAGTTGCTGCTGCTGCTGCTGGAGTTGCTGCTGCTGCTGCTAAGGCAGTGATTGCTGCTGCACGCTCAGACTTCACCCCGCCTCTGCTTGTTAGGGTTTAGGGTTTACGCTCTGGCGCTTCTGTCCTAGGGTTTAGGGTTTAGGGTTTAGGAGTTATTCTGCTGAGCCATAGAAGCAGTAGCATCTGCTCCGTCTGCAGCAGCAAGAGCAGCAGTAGCAGCAGCAGCAGCAACAGCAGCAGCACCAATAGCACTAGCAAAAGCATTAGGAGTTGTACATGCCGCTGCTGCCATAGTAGGGGCAGCAGCAGCAGCAGCAGCAAGAGCAGCAGCAGCTACCGACACGAGCCTGAGCAGCAACTGCAGGAGCTGCAGCGGCTACCTGCTGCAGCAGATACAACAGCAGCAGTTGCCGCCGAAGCAGCAAGAACAGCAGCAAAAACAACGCGCTGCAGCAGCAGCAGCAGTAGCATCAGCAGCAGCAGCACGGGGAGACAGCTTCATCTGCTGCAGCTGCTCAGCAGCAGCCTTAGCCGTCTCTAGTGACGCAACTAGCAGCAGCCGCAGCAGCAGCAGCAAGCTCAAGCAGCTTCTGTTGCAGCAACAAGCAGCAGCCAGTAGCACCAACTGACGGGAGCAGCAGCAGCAGCAGCAGCAGTAGCAGCAGCACCGCAGCAGCCAGTAGCAACCCCAGCAGCTCCTGTTAAAGCCAGAGCAGCAGCAGCAGATACGCAGTAAGCGAGAAACAGAAACAGCAGCAGCAACAGCAAAAACAGCAGCAGCAACAGCAGCAGCAGCAAGAGGACCACTGGGCAGCAGCAGCATTTTGTGTTTGTCGTTGATTTTAATTTAAACGCAAAAGGTTTTGTTTATTTTAATAAATGAAATTAACATTAAAATAGTATTTGGAGTTATTGCTGCAGCAGCAACAACTGCTGCACGCCACCGATGCAGCAGCAGCAGCAGCTGCTGCTGCTGCTGCTGCTGCTGCTCTCGATCGAGCTGCTGCTGCATGCCCTTAGTGTACATACACCTCAAACGCACACACAAACGGAGTTTTATATAAACTTCTTTGCTGCTTTTTTCTGATTTTAGGGTTTACGCTTTATTCTGTGTACACCGCAGCACCTCATCGCTAGCTGCTGCTGCTGCTGCTGCTGCTGCTGTTGCTGCTGCTGCTGCTGCTGCTGGTGCTTCTGTTGCTGCTACCTTGGTTGGTAGCTGAAGAAATAACTCCGAGTTTGAGTCTGTCTTGCAACCCTTTCTCTCTTTTTACCTACGAGGGTTTTAGGGTTTAGGGTTTAGGGTTTAGGGCTTTGAGCTCAGGCATCGAGGGCTTAAGGTCTAGCTAGGGTTTAGGGTTTAGGGTTTATGATTTAGGGTTTTCGTAGGAGCTGACGCGCAGATCGTCATGGCTTAACACCAACCCTAAACCCTAAACCCTAAACCCTAAACCCTAAACCCTAAACCCTAAATCCTAAACCCTAAGCCCTAAACCCCAGACGGTATAGCAACTCCCGATGCTGTTAGTGGTAGAACACACACAACCCTAAACCCTAAACCCTAAACCCTAAACCCTAAACCCTAAACCCTAGACCCTAAACCCTCAAACATGGGGGGCAAGAAGGGGAACCGTAAACGCGGGGCATCAGCCTCTGCTGCAAGCGACGGCGACAGTGCTGCAGCAGAAACTGAACAGCAGCAGCAGCAGCAGCAGGATGAGCAGCAGCAGCAGCCCCCAGAGGAGCAGCAGAAGGCGGAGCAGCAGCCTCAAGGACAGCAGCAGCCTCAGCAGAAGGATCAGCAGAAACCTCAGCAGCAGCCTCAGCAGCAGGAGCAGCAGAAAGCTCAGCAGCAGCCTCAGCAGGAGTCTCAGCCACAGCAGCAGCAGCAGCAGCAGCAGCAGGAGGAAGCTGAAAAAGGTTTATTAGGTATTGGTTTAAAGAAAGCGTACAGTGTAGAGACAGATGTATTTAAAGAAGAAAAAGAAAAGCATGAAGAAGAAGAAGAAGAAGAGAACGAAAGAAAAGAGGGTGCAGACGCAGTTGAGATCGTCAAACAAATGAGACAAAGAGAAGAGCAACTCAAATTAAAACAAAAAGAAGAAGAAGAAAAACAAAAGAAATTAAAAGAAGAAGAAGAAGAAGAAAGAAAGAGAAAACAAAAAGAAGAAGAAGAAAGACAGAAGAAATTAAAAGAAGAAGAAGAAGAAAGACAGAAGAAGTTAAAAGAAGAAGAAGAAAGAAAGTTAAAAGAAGAAGAAGAAAGACAGAAAAAAGAAGAAGAAGAAAGACAGAAAAAAGAGGAAGAAGAAAAAAGACAAAAGAAATTAAAAGAAGAAGAAGAAAGAAAGAGAGAAGAAGAAGAAAGAAAGAGACAAGAAGAAGAAGAAAGAAAGAGAAGAGAAGAAGAAGAAAAACAAAAGAAACAAAAAGAAGAAGAAGAAGAAAAACAAAGAAAGTTAAAAGAAGAAGAAGAAAGAAAACAAAGAGAAGAAGAAGAAAGACAGAAGAAATTAAAAGAAGACGAAAACAAAGCCAGCGAAAAATCAGATGATGCTGCTGCTGCTGCTGCTGCTGCTGCTACTGATACAGCAGCAGCAGCAGCAGCACCAGAGGCAGCAACAGCACCAACAATAGTAGTGAAGCATGCAGAAGATACTCGAAAGGCTTTTGAAGCAGCACTGCGTATGCTGCGAGGAGAAGATGATGGTGCAGCAGCAGCAGCAGCAGCAGCAGCAGCAGAAGAGACAGATGAAGAAGAAGAAGAAGAAGAAGAAGAAATATCTCTTCTTAAACAGCTTAAACCTGAACAAAAAATCCTCGTAGGCAAACTTCAAGAGCTCGATGAAGAAGCAAACAAAATACAAAAACAATTAGAAGAAGAAATACAGCTCCTCAAGTATTTTCATAAACCCTAATTATCTTAAACCCTAATTATCTTAAACCCTAATTATCTTAAACCCTAATTATCTTAAGCCCTAATTATCTTAAACCCTAATTATCTTAAACCCTAATTTTCATAAACCCTAATTATCATAAACCCTAATTATCATAAACCCTAATTCCTATAAACCCTAATTTTCATAAACCCTAATTTTCATAAACCCTCATTATTATAAACCCTTATTGTTATAAACCCTTATAAACCCTTATAAACCCTTATTCTTATAAGCCCTGATAAACCCTAATTATTATAAACCCTTATAAACCCTTATAGACCCTTATAAACCCTTATAAACCCTTATAAACCCTTATAAACCCTTATTACTGTAAAAATAATATTGAAAATAATAAATTAATGAAATAAATATATTTTATTTTATTTCTTTTCAGGTATCAGTACGAAAAGCGCTTGCAGCCGCTATATAGAGAGCGAGCGCAGCTGCTGTCTGAACCCCCGAAGCAGCAAGCAGCAGAAGCAGCAACAGCAGCAGCAGCAGCAGCAGCAGGGGCCCCTCCATCCGCCTTAGCAGGGGTATCTGGATCAGGTTCAATGAATATTATCAACAGCAGCAGCAACGAAACCAACAGCAGCAGCAGCAGCAGCAGCAGCAGCAGCAGTTACAGTGTCGGTACACCTGGACTACCAGGGTTTTGGTTGGGTGTATTAGAAAGAGACAGAAGAATAAGAAGCAGTTTAGAGTCAGGAGACAGCGCAGCTCTTTTATATTTAAATGATATTCAGGTTGAAAAACAATTAAAAATAGAAGAGGGTTTCTCTCTGTCTTTCTTCTTCTCTTCAAACCCTTTCTTTTCTAATGCAGTTCTTAAGAAACGCTTCTGCATGAAAAAGCAGGGGGATGAAGCTGTCTTAGATAAAACCATAGGAACTGAAATATACTGGAAGGAAGGAATGGTAAACCCCAAACGGCAAACGAAACCCTAAACCCTAAACCCTAAACCCTAAACCCTAAACCCTAAACCCTAAACCCTCAACCCTAAACCCTAAACCCTAAACCCTAAACCCTAAACCCTAAAACCTAAACCCTAAACCCTAAACCCTAAACCCTAAACCCTAAACCCTAAACCCTAAACCCTAAAAACCCTAAACCCTAAACCCTAAACCCTAAACCCTAAACCCTAAAACCTAAACCCTAAACCCTAAACCCTAAACCCTAAACCCTAAACCCTAAACCCTAAACCCTAAACCGTCAACTTTAAATCCTTGTTTGATTTTGCAAGCTTTTTATTGCATGGTTTGCACACTGCATGTGACGAGGGCTTCCTTTCTAGCTAGCTAGCTAGCTAGCTAGCTACTATATATATATATATATACATATATATATATATATATAATAGCTATATATATATATATGATTATATTTATTATATGTGTTAAGGAATACATGGGAAGATTCTATTCTTTTTTTATTTATTTGCGTATTTATTTATTCATTAAGATATGAATCTATTAATCTATTTATATGTCTGTACATACATATATATATACATATATACATATATATATATATATATATTTATTTAATTAATTAATTTATTTAATTTATCTATCTATTGATTTACTGCAGGACCTGACGAGCTCTGTAAAAATAACAAAACAGCGAAATGTGCGGACAAACGAAGTGCGTATAATTAAAAAGAAAGAAAAAAAGAATTCTTTTTTTAACTTTTTTACAGATTCAAGCGTCCCTCAGAGAGAAGAAATAGATACTATGAAAGACTCTGTAAGTTTATAATAATAATAATAATAATAATAATAATAATAATAAAATAATAATAATAATAATAATAGTAATACTCTGTTGATATTGTGAAAGACTCTGTAAGTTTATAATTATATTTATATTTATATTTATATTTATAATAATATACTAATAGTAATACTCTATTGATATTATGAAAGACTCTGTAAGTTTATTATTATATTGAGAATTATAATTATAATTATAATGATGATAATATATTAATTGTCCTACTCTTTATAGATATTATGAGAGACTCTCTGAGTTGTTTATAATAATAATTATTAGCATAATTAAGATAATTATTAATATAATAATAATAATAATAATATTAGCAATGATAGTAATAGTAATAATTAGTAATATAGTAATAATAATAATTAATGTAATAACAATAAAAATAACAACAGATCAAATGTAAATATTTTTATGTTTTTTATTTATTAAGCGCTGTTCGTTTTATTTGCTTATGCTGCTTCTATTGCTTTGTTTATTTAATATATATATTAAGTGTATATAGATATATATGTGCACATAATATATATATATATATATTATGCGTAGATAAATTATATATATTTTATATATAATATATATATACGCTTATCTATTATTATTTCCTTCTCAATTTGTTTGCTTGATTAGTATTAATTTTGCTTGTTTACTATTACTATATTTTATCATATTTACAATAATGATAATAATAATAATTATTATTTTTGTTTTTATTCTATTATTTTAATTATTTTACTAAATAATAAAAACACATTGCGATGGCAGTGATAATCAATAGGGGTCTATTGAAGAAAGAAGCAGCTTCAACGCACCTAAATAAACAACAATAAAAATAAATAAATTAATAAATTAATAAATTAATAAATTAATAAATTAAATAATCTTAAAGACAATTCTTTTAATTATCCTCTATTTTCATGTGTATAAACAGCTTGTGTGTGTTGTGTGTAAATCTGTATATAGAGACTAAAAGAAAGATAGCATAAATAATACATTATTAAGCATCCATACATATATTATATATTATTTTAAAGATAATTCTTTTTATATTTCTTAATATTTAGGTGTATAGGCAGCTTGCGGTGTCTGTACACCTCAGGAAGTTCGTCTAATGCTGCGCAAACTCAGCAGAGAATATGATATAGCTGTGGGTATCAGAGATATTATCGTTCCTCAAGCTATTAATGTTTACTTGGGTGAGCAAAATAAATAAATAAATAAATAAATTAATTAATTAATTAATTAATTAATTAGTTCGTTTATTTATTTATTTAATTTGTTTTTTATTGTTTACTTTGGTGGGTTGAGAGAGGTATTTATTTGTATGTGTTTATTTATTAAATTTATTTATCTGTTTGTTTTTTGTTTATTTATTTATTTAATTAGTTTATTTATTCATTTGTTGTTTATATAGACTAGTTGATGTATCTATTTATTTATTTATTTATTTTATTTACTTTATATATTTAATTTAATATATTTATTTATGTTTATCTGAGAGTATATCTCTACATGTTTATTTATTTATTTAATTTATTTTGTTTTTAAAGCCGTTTTGCATTATTTTTTTTGTTTATCTCCGTCTCTCTTTTCTTTTAAATGAGATTTCTTGTATTTGTTTGTTTTGTTTATTTCTCTCTTAAGTTCTTCTTAACAGCACATTTTAATTAATTGTTTGTTTTAACGTGGTGGTTTGTGTTTATTTGTCTTTGCCTTTTAAAACTCTTTCTTTTCTTCTTTATTTACATTTAGTTACTTTCTTTGTTTTATTTGTCTGTCTTCTTTATTTTTTCTATTGATTAAAAGTATTTGTTGCTGCTTCTCTCCTAAACCCTAAACCCTAAACCCTTTTTGTTCAGGTCTTATATCGGACGGATCAGACAGCGAGGAGAGCAGCGACGAAGACTGAGCTCAACTGCAGCAGCAGCAGCAACAGCAGCAGCAACAGGTAGCAGCAGCAACAGGGAGCAACAGCAGCAGCAACAGCTAGCAGCAGCAACAGCAACAGGTAGCATCAGCAACAGCAGCAGCGACAGAACCAGCGGCAACAGCAGCAGCAGCAGGACCTGCTGCTGCTGTTGCAGCAATAGCAGCGGCAGCAGCAGCAGCAGCAGCA